TATGTATGTATGTGTGTATGTATGTATATATGTATGTATGTATATATGTATGTATGTATATATGTATGTATGTGTGTATGTATGTATGTATATATGTATATATGTATATATGTATATATGTATATATGTATATATATATATATATATATATATATATATATATATATATATATATATATATATATATGTATATATATATATATATACAGCTAATTCAAAAAATGTTGTCCTTTGCAAACCTTAGACTCTAAAACTTAAACCTTAAACTCTAAGCGCGCAAAGCATAATGGGAGTACTGATTTCAAGTTTTGTAGTTGAATATTGCAGCTGTTTGTGAGTGAAATGTTTTCGCAGACACATATTTACCATGTCTCTAAGAAATGGGCCCCATGTATGCTTTCGAAACTGCTTAAATAGTGCTCCCATTACGCTTTGCGCGCTTAGAGTTTAAGGTTTAAGGTTTTAGAGTTTAAGGTTTTCAAAGGACAACCTTTATTGAATTAGCTGTATATTATATATATATATATATATATATATATATATATATATATATATATATATATATATATATATATATATATATATATATATATATATATATATTGTATATAGAATATAGAATATATTGAAACGTATCAAATTGGTGAATTATTATTTACTTTGAACTGTTTATTATTTTATTATTCTCTTCCTTTTTACAAAATTAAACAGTTAAAGCCACATGTCAAGCAACAAGTGATCCACACTACTCGACATTTGATGGAACGCATTATGACTTAATGGGAAGATGTGAATATATTCTGGCTAAAGACAGTGTGAATAACACATTTGAAATAAGACAAGTGAATGAACCTTGTGGATTATTTGGAGTATTCTCATGCACAAAATCACTGACAGTGATTTTCCCAACTGTAACTATCCAACTACTGCGGGGAAGTGTGGTGGTAAATGACTCAGAAGTTGATTTGCCTGCATCTTACGAAGGTAAGTTCTTTTAACTTTCATACCTGATATATGCTTTAAAATTTGACATAGGGTTATAAAAGCAAGCTCAGTTCATCTAGTCAATTCAGCGGAATGTCCTTCTGTTCTCATAGCTTCCATTTTGAAATGGAATTTCATGATAAAGTGTGTTTGGAATTGTCCTATGTTATTGGCAACAGAAATATCTCATCAAAGTTGTTTGTCTGATTCTTACTGATCCACAAAGTTTTTAATCAACAAAATATCCAAGCAACTACATATTTTAAAAACGTTTTGTTTATCACAACATTTATAAAATTTATTTGACCGAATTGAGCCCAGGAATATTTTTAGACTGCTGTTTATTAAGGTATTTTAAAATTTTAAATTTGTTCGCAACCATGCAGGTATATCAATCATGTTTTCACTCGCTACTCTGGTTTCAGTATAAATGTATTGAATACAAAGCCCAGTCAAATTGTAATCAAGACCCAGCGTTTCGACACTATATAGGGAGATTGTTCTGAGCAATTTGCAAGCGACGCGAACAAATTGCAAGTTGAAATTTACAAAATATTTGTAAACAAAGCCTCTGATTGGACTATAAGAAAAAGGGAAGCACCAATCCAGTTGCTTAGAGTATTTGCAATTTTGCAATTTGTTCTCGTCGCTTGCAAATTGATCAGAGCAATATTTCTGGCAATATTGCAATGTTGCTTGCAAGAGAACATCCGGTTTGACTGTAACAATGAGATTATATATAGGGCTGGCTTACAAGATTCTATGTAATGTTTACAACATGAGCGGCCGTGCTGTATCAGATATACAAACTGGAGCCGAAGGCGAGAGTTTGTATATATGATACAACACGGACGCGAATGTTGTAAACAACTTAAAAAACGACTCATCTTATGAGTTCATTGCCGAAGTAATTTTAAAAATAAACGTTGTCTAAGCCGAGAAAATCAAAGTTAAAGTTTATGTAAATCAACATGAATCTGTATCACATATACAGATACGACACGCTT